ACATGCTTCTGAATAAGCAATGGGTCACAGAAGAAATTAAAGAAGAAATCAGATAGTTCCTACAATTAAATGACCATGACAATACAACATATTGAAATCTATGGGACACAATGAAAGCAGTCTTACAAGGAAAATTCACAGCAGTGAATACTCATATTAGGAAAACAGAGCAAGCCAAATTAAACAACCTGATGCTGAACCTCAAGATTCAAGAAAGAGAAGAGCAGGACAACCCCAAAGCTCATACAAGGGAGGAAATTATGAAGATCAGAGCAGAAATCAATGCAATGGAGACTAAGAAAACAATACAAAAAATCAATGAAGCCAAGAGTTGGTTCTTCAAAAGAATAAACAAAATTGACAAACCCTTAGCCAACCTCATCAAAGGAGGAAAGAAAAGGCCCAAATCCATGCAGTTAGGAATGAAAAGAATGAAATTACAATGGACCCAGGAGAAATCCAGAGGATCATCAATACCTACTTCAAGAACCTATGTGTCAACAAGATGGAAAACACAGAAGAAATGGACAGATTCCTAATTCCGTGTGAATTACCAATGTTGAATGAAGAAGAACTAAAAATTCTAAACAACTCAATATCAATCAATGAAATTGAAAACATAATTAAAAACTTACCAACTAAGAAGAGCCTGGGTCCTGATGGCTTCACTGCTGAATTCTATAAGATATTTAGAGAGGAACTACTGCCACTACTGTTTAAGCTCTTCAATGAAATTGAGAGGGAAGCAATACTCCTGAATTCATTCCTGGAAGCAAGCATCACCTTGATCCCCAAAGCAGAGAAAGACCCAACCACTAATCTCACTAATGAACATAGATATAAAAACCCTTAATAAGATACTGGCAAATAGAATGCAGAAGATCATCAAGAAGATCATACACCTTGACCGAGAGGGATTCATTGTAGGGATGCAGGGATGGTTCAACATATGTAAATCAGTAAATATAATACACTATATCATTAGAGCCAAGGACAAAAACCATATGATCATCTCAATAGATGCAGAAAAAGCATTTGATAAAATCCAATACGCATTTATGATAAAAACCCTACACAAAATTGGAATAGACTCTCTCTACCTCAATCTGATAAAAGCCATCTATGAAAAACCAACAGCCAATATCAGAGTAAATGGTCAAAAACTGAAATCCTTCACACGACAATCAGGAACAAAACAAGGATGTCCACTATTACCACTCTTGTTCACTATAATTTTGGAAACATTTGCCACAGAAATTAGGCAAGAGAAAAAAATAAAAGGAATAAAGATAAGAAATGAAGAAGTCAAATTGTCATTATTTGCAGATGACATGATACTCTATGTAGAAGACCCCAAGAACTTCACCAAAAGTCTTCTAGACTTAATAACCAAA